GCTGGTATAAGAGCTGCTCTCTCAGCTCTGGCCACGCTCCCCAGTGAACCTTTGGAATCAGTTTTCTCCAGCTTTTTCTCATCTGGACGCTGTTCCCTTTGAAGAGAAAAGCTTTTCTTAAAGCAGTTTATTCTTCCCCATCTTGTTCAAGGTAGGGGTAAACTTTCTGCTCACTGTCCAATTAAATCTACTTGACAGCTTGATTTTTATCGCTGTGTCTCTTCCATCAGCAAGTCGAAATGATCCTTGTTAGGGGAGCAGCATCCTGCTTTACAACGAGATGAATCCCGAACTGAGCATTTAATGAAAATGCTGCGGACTCTGAGGGGAAACCCCATTTACTCAGTACTCTCTAATTTAAAACTGAATTGTATTCTTTCATTTTCTGTAAAGCCTCTGCTTTTATAACACCGAGATCCTGCTGTGCTCTGGAGTAGCCTCTGTGGCCGAAGAGCAGCAGTGTGTAATTTGCTGAGCAGCTAATAACGTGCAATCCAAGGGTCTGGCCCCAAGGACAAGGAGCTGTTGATCTTGACTTCAAATAGTGTTCTCTGCAGCAACCCTGATGCTGAGAAGTGATTAAGGGTGGGAGCAAAACTGAAAGGCCCCAGCCCTTTCTCTCACACTTGAAAGCAATGCCACGTCGAGTGCAAGGGGTGGATTAAGGGAAACCTTCAGCTGGATGGGAAACGGCAGCAGCTTCCTTTTCCAGGCTGTCCTCAAAGGAAAGGGGAATATTTTCCAGGTGTTAACTTGATGTGCTGGGGGGTTCAAGGGAGAAGCAGGGCTGTCGGCACCTTACAGATGTGAAAAGAAGCATCTTTCCATTCCCACAACCCTGACAGAGATGTCATGGGCGGTCTGACAGCAGAGAGTGGATTTCTTGTGCTGCTGAATTTTGGCATAAAGGCAAAGTAATTGTCCCCAATGCTATACAGGTCCTGTAAGGCAGCGCAAAGGGAGCTCTGATTCCCAGCCCTCTGCTAAGGCCAAGGATGCATTTGCAACCACCAGTGGGTAGTGCTGATATATTCAAGGAGGGAGAACATCCACTCTTCTTGGAAAGGATTTTTCTTTTGATTTGTACACAGGCTTTGCTCACCCCAAGGGTTTCTGTGCCCGAAAGTTCGTCTGCTTTTTCCAATTTTAGCACCCAGACTACTGAGAGAAATAGTTCTTTAGTTACAAGGCTTATAACCACATGTCATTCAGAAAAGTTTAGCTAAGAATTAAACATTAAATTTAGCTGAACGTATAATGAATAAATAAAGCCTTTTCCTTTCATGTACTTGTGCCAAAATCAACAAGCTCTATTAGCTGACGAAACAATGCTGACGCCAAATAAAAATACCCCTGACCCATCAATATAGGCTAAGAGCTCGGCCCTGCATCAAAGAGCATTGTCTGAACAAGAAATACCATCTTGACACCTCTGAGGGTAATAAAAAACAAAAGGGCTTCCATCCCGGCGAGGACCTGGGCTCCCTGTGCCGCCGGCAAGTGCGTGGAGCTCTCACCGGGGTGTTGAGGAGCAGCAAAGTCATCCTGACGGCCGCTGGCTCACGAGCAGTCTGCTCTGGCCACCTCCCTTGCTTTTTGCCCGAGTGATTTGGAAACCTCTTGAGCTGCAAACCTGTTTGGAGCAGAGATCAGGGCTTTGCTTGCTCCCCGCCACCCACCCTGTGTGTAAATTGCCCACTAAACCTGCCTGGTTTTTTGTTCTGTGTGCAAAAGCTGACACTTCAAAATGAAGCTCTTGAAGGCCCTTGCTGGGTATTAAAGTGCTTCAGCACCTCAGCACATCTCAATAGCTGCGAGCACCCTGCCAGCTGTGCCATCCTCCTCCTCTGTGGGAGGATGAAGTAACATCTCCCCTCAGCCCCACACAGCCCGGGCAGCTTTGCCATTCCCCAGCCATGCCTGTTCTGTAATCCCCTTTCTTCTGCAATCTGCACTTAGCTGCTCTGTGCCATGCCCTGGATATGATCTTTGAAGTCTCGCCCTTCTCTCAACATCCTTGTTTAAAAGACCTGTTCCCCACTAGTCTTCAGTCAGGCTTTCAGATTTGTTCAGGCTTTTATTTACTTCTCTGTCTTCCTGCTCCCACCACTCCCCCTGCCCTGTCAGAAGGGAAAGTACAATTCATTTTTCACGCGACCCTGCCAGCAAGGCAGTGACATGAATAGGAAAAGGTTCAGAAACTGTAGAAAAAGCAAAACCCCACGACTTTAATAAGGAGCAAAATGCTTCCCAACCAGAAGGGAGCAGCCACATGTGACTAGAATTGCTGTAAACCAGAAAATAATTCCTCCAAATAATTCCTGCAGTCTCCCTGATGCCTCTTTTTGCAGAACTCTCTGTGAGAAGTCGTTACAACCGTAGCGTGCGATCCCGCAGACTGTGCAGGTGCTGGTACAGCCTGGTTGGAAACACTCGCAGTCTTACAGGGTCCTGACTTTTACCAGGACTCTCCTCCTCTGCCTGCCTGCAGCGATGCCCCGCACGGGCACATCGTCCCGCTCCCTCCTGTCTGGCTGCCTTGAGCACGGAGGGGTGTTTGTGTGTCTTTAATTTTGATTTCAGTTGTCTGAGCAGTGCAGGCGTCCCGCCGGGCTGCGCTTAATTCTGAGTAACGTTAGTTTAACTGCACGGACAGTCTCCTGCTGTTTTGAAAGACACCTAAGAAAGCAATATAGTCACGGTAAGAACTTCTCTGCTGGAAAGCCAGGCTCCTACGAGAACCCACCTGTTACAAAAAAATAATTAAAACCTGAAGAGAAAGGATAATAGGACACTGAAAGGTGTCCGAGCGGGTTGGCAGGCAAGGAGCCATGCGGGGCTCCTTCGAGCCACTGACCCTCCCCTCTCGCAGCAAGGGCTGGGGCTCGGCCGTAACGATCGCCGGGCAGCGGCATCGATCTCTGCCCAGAGCTTCCTTTGCGCGGGGGGAGCAAAGCTCAGCTCCTCCGTGGGCTCCGCTCACCTCTCTCCGCACATCAATAGGTGTCAAGTCTCCACCCAGGACGGGCGATGGAGAGGCCGTTTTCTTGCTGGTTCCGCTTTCTACTGACCATAAGGGGATGCTCAGCAGTAAGCACGCACCCTGCAAGTCGTTTGGCTGGGCTGGAGCCATCTCCCACTCAGTGCACCAAATGCTGGG